CAATCAGTAATCTTGTCATTTGTTCTTTACTCTTACCCTTTCACGAGTTAGAACGCCGACAAGCAACTTTCTGATACAAGAACTAGTGACGCACTTCAAAATGATTCCATAGACAAATGTTCAATATTTGGCGGTAACATTCCTGTCTAGACTAAAGAGCATTATCGCTCACGGGACCTTCTGGGTTACAATGCCATGTGGACTGATACCAGCGTTTCGGAGAAACATAATGTCTACATCTTTAGCCCTGAAGAGGTAGGTCGTATATTCCTGCGAAACGTTGGTGTTTACCTAGAAGTCCATACGGCGTTACAACCCAGAAAACCAACACTGACACATTCACATCTGTGAGAATCTCAGTATCTTACGTGTTTTCCTAAGTGCACACTCTTATAGTAATATTAAATTAATAAAGATTTGTATTCTTATTTGACCTATATGTATTAAGGTATAGAAGATAACGTACAACTAATTAATTGTTCTGATATAACCTACCAATAAACGAATTAAGCTTGAGTATATTTAATAGAAATTTTTAATGTTGTGTAATGTGCTGACTTATCTCTGGACAAGCATTAAATTATGTTCACCTTCTTTTAAATGAATACTCTATGACTGACAAAACTGAAATTAGATAAAGGTACTTCCAGCATTTACATCACTTCACGAGAAAAAACTGAAATATCGCCCATTAATATAAACAATTACGAATTTCTGCTTGCCAGCTCGCAAAATTGACTCGCCTGTGGCGACTAGATGTCTTGTTTTTTCAGCCCTTTGTGTGTATGTGTTTGTATGTATACATAAACTTTGTTTGTTTATCCAGATCCAAGCCCTCAATGACTACAAAAATAACCGTGAAAAAGATTCTTCTGGTAATGACACATTGGACCTGAGCAAACTCATTAGTCCAGGTTCAATAAAAAAAAATGTGTTCCCGAATACGGAACTTTAGTAGTCACCGTGAATAAATCTTGACAAGGTCAGATGTTGAAGTACCTCAGGTTTACATATATCAGAATTTGAAATCTGGCTTCGTTTCGATTTGGATATGCGGTTAAGGAAGTCCAAACATAGATTTGGTATCTTTGTCCATCATTGTCAAGAGCGTGGGATTCATTTCATATTTCTCTTAGCTTTCCTCTAAATACCGATAGTTTGTTGTTGATTCAGAACTGCATCATCGTTCCGGTAGGTTGTGGGAACTTAGAAGAGAATGAAGAAAGTTACTGTCTTCTGGGTTGTAAAGCCGTGTAGTCTGGTATAATTTCACCAGACTACAGGGTGCTACAACCCACAAGACAACCACATTCACACACGTCACCACGATAACTTCACGTCCTACTTATTTCGTATCTGGATAGAAATATGTCACTATTTTTCATAGATTTAATGACTTTATATACACTAATTTTATACATTTATCGTTTAACCTTTCACGAAGCACCAATGTCCAAGCAAACTGTTTATCTTTAGACGAGCTGACGATTTACCACAAACTGTTAAATGTGACTGGCCTAATGAAACTTGTAATTATTTTCAGAAGCACTACGAATCGTAATCTAAATTTAACTATATATAAATGATTTAGTTTATGTAGCACTAAATTATGTGTAAATTGAAGGGAGGTACGAGATTCAGCATCTTGGCGTTCATTTGGTAAAGGCGTGATAAAACACTGAGAGCAAGGAACTTCCGAATATCAAACACATAGCCAAAACGCTAATTTGGATACGTCAGATAACTGCACACAGCGTAGGTAACTAGGAAATAATGACCAGGCGCGCTACAACCCAGAAGACAGTCGTCTTTATTCTCGCCGTCGTCAGAACCCAAAATCTCAAATAATAAAAAGGATTCGAAATAAGTAACTACCGAATATAATTGATGACTACAACGAAATATTTTTGTTTTCAAAGTCCTAGCATTGCCCCAACATGGTGATCCTAACGTAAAATCGTATGACATTATAACTTTATAGACATAAATATGTGGAACTAAAAAATTTAATCTTAACCAACACTTTAACATTCTGGAAAAAAGTTTATATTGAATAATAAACAAATAAATACAATTTAAAATTGGAATGCAGCTTGTAACAAATTTTCATTTCAATTAGAACTAAAGTAAACATTAAATAAATTGTTCGTTTGTTTTCGAATCATTTCAATTTATTTACTCCACTCTCTTTGTTCATTCAGTAAACTGTATTCCGTTTCGTAAACTAAATTGTTTCCAACTTGCTGAATATTTAACTTATTTATAAACGATTTATTTAAAGAAGCTTTCACTTGCTAAGGCTATACAGCAACGAGTTATAGGATGAATATGGCGGGTATGAAAGATTTCGCGGGCCAGGATAAAAGTGGTGTCGGGCCGGATGTGGCTCGCGGGCCGCCAGTCGATGCAAGTCAGGACAATAAGGCTGTGGAAATGATGGATGACAATACTATGAGACTGGTATGGGAATCATAAAAAATTATAGTTTCTGCGCCAATGCACCACAGGTCACAGACGAGCTTACAGATCATTTCTTATTTTGTAAAATCAACCCGGGAATAGCGAGTGACCTGCCAGATTTAGCAAGCGGTTTGTTCAGTATGATTTCATTTATTAACTTTATATAGCATTCTTATGCAACATACTTAATACACAATCACAATTAGGTATTAAACATGTCACTAATTGCACCGTTATGGAGATGACACACACTCAATCTGAACAGTTTATTTATCTTTCAGTAAAAACGTTCGTTCCGTCCTACAAACTGCAATAGTGTAAACTTTCCCTGCATTGAGTTTCCAAGTAAATTAATTTGTTTAGCGACTTTTTTCAACCGCATTAGTTATTTATGATGGACTGATAAAATGAATGTGGATCACGAAATGAAAATAATTAGATAAGAGTCATTTCTGTATTTAATTTAATATTCGTTAAATATTTGAAGACGCTCATATAATTTGTGCCCACCCTTCAACCTACACAAGCAACCCTTAGAAACACTGTATGGATGTTAGCGAGTCTCTACAAACTACTACGCTTGGTAGGAATTTCGTATTAATTATACAGAACCTCACGACGTAAGCAAAATACATTAAGGGGCAAATAATGTTGCTTTTTCTACATGAAATGCCTTGATTCTGTATAATTAAAGCGAACCTCCAGAACAAACGCTGTAAGAGAGAGAATGGTAGGGGGTCGAAAATCAAGTTAATCCGGAGTTACAATTTTCTCTCAGAAAAACAACAAATAAAATAAAAATTAAGACTGCAACACAGAGTAAACAAAAAAACCGTCACTGGAATTTACTAAGCACAACAATGATTTATATATTATCTAATAGATCCACCTTAAAACACCACTGCCCTTTTCTCAATCAGTTTTAGAAAATAAGACTCTATGTTATTAAACTTCTCTAACCATAAAACCTGCAAAACTATGTGTAATGGTGGCTGTCTAAAACAGAACTAAGTGGAGTATGTTATGTTTATGAATAATTATTTCATATTTGAAATTTAGGGATTTCTAGAAGAACGAAATTGGCTGTGCTCAGAAGCTGTTAAGACAGCGACGTTTGACCCATAAGAAATCGAAGCTCGTCTAAATAATATTTAAGAATTAGTCCGTACTTCAAAGTAAACACCACACATAACACTACAAATATCAACTGTTTAATGCTGTATATCGAAATAATACCTCTTTACCCTTACAACCATAACAAACACATAAATAAAAACTCGTAAATTTATTGAATATTGAAGCAGGTGGTAAATATGGTTACCATTGGGCTTTAAAAGGCTAAGAAAGAGTTGATTGTAATATGAAGAAACATTGATTTGAGACGTTCTTTAAGCGCAAGATAAAATAGACATGTTATTTTGCATTTATGCAGTCTTAATCGACCGTTTCGCTTGTAATCAAACTGAATAAAATAAATTAAGAAAGAATTTTAGTTGTAAATTTTGATCTACATTAAGCAAAATAAAGAACAGCCTTCCTTCATTAAGTCTGAGAATTGAGTTGACAACGGTTCTTGAAACAAAGTACAAAATTTAAAATGAAATCCAAAGTTCTGAGCTCATGTTTACATCTTCACAAGTTAATAATTTATTTAAAATATTTAGGGCATAACCAATAAAAGCGTTGTCAAATAAGCCTAGAATTTAGGGTGTAAATGCTTAAGTTTTAATTACAGATATACAAACTGACTATAGTAAAAATGCTTTAGTAGCGTTCGTCAAGATGGCCAAGATGTCACTCGGCAGTGGTGCGCCGACAGGACAACCAACAGCCGGTGCGAGGGGCGCCGAAGTAATTGAAGGTAATGCTTACGCCGATTTTGATTTCCATTAACATATTCGAACTATGTAAGATTTGAGGTTTTCACAGGTAGTTCGAATATGAAGATTTCTGTCTTCTAGTTTGTTGCGCTGTGTAGTCTGGTCGATGTTTACCAACGTTTCAGAGGTCATACTGCCTCCGTCATCAAGGCGATTCTTTCTAAGTTATCTACGCTATGAAGATTTCTGTCTTCTGGGTTGTTCCGCTGCGTAGTCTGGTAGATGTTTACCAACGTTTCAGAGGTCATACTGTCTCCGTCATCAGGGCGATTCTTTCTAAGTTATCTACGCTATGAAGATTTCTGTCTTCTGGGTTGTTCCGCTGCGTAGTCTGGTAGATGTTTACCAACGTTTCAGAGGTCATACTGCCTCCGTCATCAGGGCGATAAACATCTACCAGACTACACAGCGTAACAACCCAGTAGACAGAAATCTTCATATTCGAACTAGCTAAAGACCGAGACATGTAATAGGTTTACCTAAGAGTTAATACAATTAACATTAATTTTTCACAATGTAATAGATTGCTAGTAAACAAATAATTTAGGGTTTCAGAGGACGTAATGTTGTAATGTGGATTGGTGTACTGTCATTTATACTACAAAATATTATGACAGTTCACGTAACTGGACATTCTAACAACTTTGATACTTCATACATCAATCACTTTCCACAAAAGTGGTGTGAAGTTACAGGCTACGAAGATTTGGACTGAGAGGCATGGATTAGGATGACCTTTATGACCTCCAAATATTACAATGTTGGGCTTCCCGATCCGTGTTATATGAAAAACTGCGAAAGCCATGTCAACATCTGTACGGATGTAATTTGACGTACTTTATACAACAACACCGTGACACCAGGCATGTGGGTGTGTACATGGACAGAAATTTAATACCGCCTACATGTGAGGGTAACGAAGAAGACGGAAATACCGTAGTTTACAAACACGAAAAATAATTAATAGAACCTAACCTAAACGCATGTATGTTTTGCTGTAAATTGTTTTAAAATGGTAAAGATCATTTACGAATACATACTTGTGTGCAAAATTACATTTTTGTATGCATCATGCGACTGCATGTAATAATCTGTTATTATAGGCCTAGATATAATAACACGCCACTGCATGCGTGATACGTCATCCCTTCAGAAAATGCGGATAAAGTGTTAGCATTTAGTTCTATAGCCACACGTGCGTTCCTATATAAAGCCAAACGCCACTGAATTGAGACATGTCACATTAATAAACGTCTGTACGACGTGAGGACTTTCTACTTGCGTGGTGATACAGCATCTGTTAATTCTACTGTGTTATCGACAAACTGATATGCCTTTGGAGGAAATAATTTGATTCACACTGCGTGTGTTTACAAAGACTCTAAGATAATTATTAAATTCGCTCCAACAGGGATTCCATATAATTCTCTTCTGTATTGCACCTTGCGTTAGGTACGGTTAATTTAAATTAGCTTTACACCACAGTGGATTGAAGAGGGCTACATTAATCTAAGATGAATTTGTTAAGGTTGGGTGAATTCCAGGAATACGTCTGAGATCACGAATGGATGCGTGCTTTCAGAGCGGAAGTCCGTTCACTGTAGCATGTGATGTGTTTTACATGTAATTAATTTTCGGATTATTCTATTATATTACTCTTAACATGACAATATAATTGTGAAAGAATATTTACAAACAGCGTAGAGATTACTTAGACCAGCGTTTAAAACCTATGGTTCGCGTACCACTGGTGGTTAGTAGTACATTTAATGTGTTAAATTAGAATTAGTGGTACGCCATCGAGAAAGGTTGAGAACTCCTGACTTAGACCCTATAGCCTCTACATTTAAATTCCGTAGAAATAAATTGTGAGAAATACGAATTATTATTATTATTATTATGGTACATTTATATATTTAGTTTCATTTGTTTTTTGTATTTGTAATGTTTTACTTTTATTATTATTATATTTTATCCTGTACTGTCGTAAGTGCGTGGCTGTTATTGGGAGTATTTGGCTGTTGTCAAGCACTTAAATAAATGAATTAAATTATTATTATTATTATTATTAGTATTGCTTTTAATTTTTATAATTTCTACTTATTTAATCTTCTTATGCTGACTCTGTACTACTGAGTCAGCACTTTAGAATAAGTACACAATTTAATTTAATTATCGATAATATCACATGTTATATATGAAAACTCTCTCAAGATTTCTACAGCGCAAAGTCATTACGGCAGAAAGGAAATTCATAAATCAGTGCTTCTAAATTTTGTGTTTACTGGATGGGTGTTTGTGAACACCTTAAATGACCACACTTTTAAGCTCAGAAGCTTCTACACTTCGATTTTCCTGTATGTGTGCTTAATTCAACTACGCTGTACGTACTTCGAAACGTATAGCCTGAAATGATATGGCTATTAATGAATAACAAACTTGAAACAATGTGTAACAACGTTGTCGTGAAAAAATTGAAGTCACAACTGATATTTACCTGGAAGGATTGAAGAAAACCACAATAAATCTGAGCCGGGTCGAGATGTGAAGCCAGGACCACCTGAATACGAAACAAGGGTGCTAACCACTCAGCTGAGACGCCTTGTTTGGAAGTATAAGCTTTCGTGGAATAACCTTCTTCTTTACATTTATAGTAGATTCGGAAACGCCATACGACAGTACGGATTGATCTATTGACCCGAGAAGAGCAATGCTACACGAGTGTGTTACTAAGATACTGTCTGAGACGCCTACGGTCGGATCCTGTCCCGTATAACCAACAAATGTATTTTTCTATGAATTTGATAAAGGTTACTTTCTGAAGAAAAAATGAAAGAGTTCTCATTTTCTTCAGAGATTAGGTCAACGAAATTAGTTATGAAGCAGTTTTGTTTATTTCTATAGATTTCTTTGACGTATACAGGCGTATAGGAATCCCAAGACTGTTGTGCCAAATTCAGCTTTTAAAACGAAATACAATCTTGACTTATGCAAGAGAAATGCTCATAGTGAAACGCATGAATATCAAAGAAGTCGTGTACATGGTACACAAAATCTGTTGTCTCAATCCCCCAACTATCGGAAATTTATACTGCATATAAATTGAAAAGAATGACAAATGTTTAATTTAGTAAATAATATTCATAAAGAAGAACTGCAGTTTTAAAGGTATTAGTGCAGAATTCCTAAAAGAGATGTCTCATTTTGTGTTACAGTGTCGGTCTTTTGAATTTTTAAGCCGTGTATAATCAAAAGTAGACACCAAATTTGGTATCTATATATGAGTACTCACGCCGCTACAACCCACAGAACCAACTTTGTCATCTTCAGTGCCATGAGAATCTCAACTCTCGTATTTTGTGTTACATTCTGGATCTGTGTCTGCGTTTCCTATAAAACTGCTCATCAGACGCCGCGTAAATAGGTCAAGACTGTTGTTTAAAAATGGATGTTTTATGAAAATAAAATTTATGTTAATTTTTTTTAATCACACCGTCATTTTATTTATTTCCTATAAACAAAATACGGGTTCTTATTCCACCGTCTGTCCTCTGAGAATAATTCTGGACTATACAGGAAATACCACGTCTCAGGGAATAAAGTGTAGCTTTTTGGTGGTATCCTTCAGTATCTTCGTAAAGAGTTTCTGTTTCAACTAAATTCACTCGTACCGCTGTGTCACTGAACGACTTAAATATCCATAAATTTTAAAGAGAGTTGTGCTGAACTCAAGTGAAATAGTTCTGAATGGGACTTGGTTACGGAGAACTTATCACGAACAACAAAGGAACTGTCGGAGCTCGGTGACATTATTTTTCTCACTGACCTCTTTGACTTTCCTAGAAACTGTAAAAGCTCTATTATATTGCCAGATATCTTTGCCGACGTAATATTTTCAGAGAATTCCACAATTTTATCTTATTTACAGCAGTTTTTAATAGCGGAGTCTTAGCATATAGGCCTGTATTCAGGACCAACTACTGACTATGAATCACACAAAATTTCAAAAGACAGAACACCATTATAGACCTAAAGGGAGGAGACATGTCGGAAGATCAGATTAGTGATGGCCACTACAGCACCAGGTCTCAGAAATTATCTTGGAGGCCAAAATCTTTGTCGGTAAAATTTAGGGATTTCTGTATTGTTACCAGTTTCCAGGTATGGCTGTCTGTTTTGCAGAACTATACACAATTGGCTGAAAGAAGGGAATAGGGAAACGTATCAGATGAATAGGAGGAGGCAGAAGATAAGATGTTGGAGGAGAAAGGAGAAATGAGAGTACAAAGAAATAAAATCTATAAAATCTTCAGATCTTAGTGACTGGGTCTTCTGGCCTATTCCACTTCAGATTTAACTCTCAAATCTGTGAATCCTTTTTGTAGAAGTCCTTAATCGGGGAAAGAAAATATTATTAAAATTGTAATATTTAAAGATGTTCTATAATTTGCAATTGTAACAAAATGTAACTCCATCGTTTATGCCAATAATTGGCAACACTGTTCGAAACTGCATTTATGAAAGATGCCTCTGCCGAGAATCAATGGAATAGGTTCAATACATTTCCAGGAAAACACTACGTTGTAAATAATAGCATGGAGGCATGATCAAAGAGTTCATTCAGTGGCACAGGCCATCTGTGAGCTCATGGGTAGATATCGACTGTACCAGAACACTGGGGATGGAAAGTGAACGTCTGATTCAGTCTATTAAAGGCACACAAATACGAAGTGGGGCGATCACAGAGGCGGATGGTTTTTTTTCGCTCCAAATACTGGTATCGCAGGTTCGAATTCCGTTCCAGGCACCGGATTCGATCCCGACAGTTGATATTAATAATAATAAAAATAATAAATAATAATGTCAGTATAATGACAGTAAGTCACCTGAAGAAGGAAAAAACACCCGAAACGTCGTGTATATTAAACACATCTCAGATAATGTAGAATATCAGATATAATGCTATATTGATCAAAGTGAAATAAATGCAAGTAGTCATAAAGGAACAATGCAAAATTGAGGTATGGAGATGTAGGATTTGATTATCGGTAATATTCACTAAATATTGTAAGTACGGTGAAATTAAGAAGGATATGTAGCACGCATTAGACATACGAGAAATGGATACAAAACTTGTCGAAAAACCTGAAGACGTAGAAAAATTGGAGAATATTATTAAAATCGACCTTAATTATATGGGATGAAAGTATGTGGATTGGATTTATCTGGCTCAGAATAGGGACCAGAAGCGCGCTCGTGTGAACACGGAAATGAACTTCACTGTCCCATAAATAAAATAGAAAGTAATTTTTGATTATGGGTGACTATTGACTTCTCAAAAAGACTCTGTTCCATGGAGTTAGTGGCATTAAAATGTACCCTCTTAACAGCTGTTATAGATATTATTAACCAAAACGCTATAAAATACTGTTTTGCACCCACACAAGCAAAGCAAGCTTTCCATTCTAGTAGATCATAAACTTCAATGCATATTTTCTCATTTTCCCGAAATTTCCCAAGAGCCCAATACCGATGTCAAAGGTGGAAATAATCTGTCTAGAAGGAGCTTTATTGTAAGAGATAAAGTGTGTTCACTAGGGAATACACATAGATAGATCAGTTGCTTAACATGGCTGCTAGATACCACGATTATAGAATTCCGCATTGAATATAATCCTGGTGTCGGTAAAGGCCTTTAGCGTCAATACATGCAAGGATGGTGTCCCTCGCCAGTGACCAGAGAACCCAAAACGTAGTCTGTGTTTGGAATTTGAACAAGGCAAAAAAATACAACTGAAATTACTTCAATCAGAGATTCACAATTTAAAAATATAACAGCCTTTTATTCTAAATATTGTAAGTGGAAAGTTCAATTTAAATTTAATGAAGAATGATTTCTTCGTTCCTTCCTATCCTTTATCTATTTTGTATTTTTGTTTCATCCAGAAGAATGTCTAGAAGTTGCTTAATGGCAGAATAACTTATATTTATAACTAACTAACTAACTAACTAGATGGCTTACCGAACCCGAAGGTTCATCACCGAATTAACCAAAGCCCTCCACCGAACCCTGTCCTGGGCCAACAAAATCCAGTTTCCTTCAACTCCTATCTCCCATAGATCCCGCCTGAGATTATCCTCCCATCTACGTCTAGGTCTCCCCAGCGGTCTCTTCCCTTCGGGTTTCCCAACCAGTACCAGGTGCACACCTCTTGTCCCATCCATGCGCGCTACATGTCCCGCCCATCTCACTCTTCTCGACTTAATCACCCTCACAATACTGGGGGAGCAGTACAGATTTTTAAGCTCGTCATTGTGCAGTTTTCTCCACGCCCCATCGTCTTCCCTCTTAGGCCCAAATATCCTCCTCAATACCCGATTCTCAAACACCTGCAATCTGTGTTCCTCCCTCTGAGTGAGAGACCATGTTACTTATATTATACTTATATTTATACACGGTTTATTTAACAACGCTACCAGTAATTCAGACTGAAGCGTCGAATAATAGGCCTGTTGTGATTAATTAATCAGAACGAATGTGGAAGAAAGTGGTAGTGGACTGATTTAACGTTATATCTCATCATTTACCGGAAGGAATTGAGAAAATTACAAAACACCTGAGTCAGGATACCCTGTATTCAGACCGAGATTTGAACCACAAACGTCATGAATACGAATAAGGAGTACCAACCACTCAGCCGCGATGTTTGGTAGTAACACTTATAAAACAGAATATTCTGTCATCTAGGACCTTACTGAGAAGTTTGCTTGTTATGCATAACACACACACACGATAGCAGTATCCTGTTATATCGCATCGCAAGACGATTCAATGGTATGCACATGGAATGGTCAAAACATTGATTGATGTTTTCTGTTGAGACAAATGCAAATATCCAACCACACTGTCACATGAAATGGGAAAAAAAAAAGATGAATTGTAGGCATTAATTTGAACGTAAAAGTCGAGTGACATGTTTTAAGGATCGATTGTAAAACCCGTCTCACTGATAAAGACCGTGTTGATAGAGATTGTGTACGTATATGTTAAACAATAGAAAGGTTTTTTGATTAGAAAATACAAAGCACATCTGCTTTTAAGCCATTCTAGCCTATTCAAACGAATTATCAATGGGAGTAATATTTAACCGCGAAATAAATAACAAATAAAATTAATCAGTTTGGATCTCTCAAAGGCTCCATAAAGCAAATATGCAGAGTGGTGCAAAAGTAAGGTCACAATGAAATTAAAATTAATATGAATGTATATTTCCTTACATTTTATTGAGATACTTTTCATGTCTGCCCACACAAACAACATTACAAGCACATAGGCCTACATAAATACGAGTTTACTTAAAGTATTCAACGAAGAAAAAATATATTGTATTACAACATGTACAATGTGTCCTGACTGTTTAGCCATTCTGTATTTTAGTGCGAGATCGACAACCAACTGAAACAATTCAGCTGGTGAATCAATGGTTTCAATTTCGTTTGTTGTGTTTTACTTTGATTCACAGATCAGTGGCTTCATATTTTGTCTGACACATTTGTTTTCATGCAGTAAAATGTGTGCCAGATATGCACATAATTGGAATAAATTACATTATCGTTTCAAGTACTGAAATCTTTATTATACAACCCACCTACATCTCACTGAAGTCACTTCTATCATATAGATTGAAGCAGCAGATTCATACAAAGTACCTTTTACCACCAATAACTACAGAGTGTCGCAACTCTAAATATCAGGATCTCAATTTCAACCCCTTCGAAACCCTTAAAAGCTTAATTACAGATATAACCCTGTATTCGGTAAGTGTATACTATCTGTTTGTTGCCTTCGTCAGGTCTATAATCGGGTATTCGTTATCAGTTAAATTAAAACTACTTTAACTCAGAGACAAGCCAAGTGCAGATTTACAGTTGAAGAGCCCAACTTTTGGGCAGGACGTACGGCAATCTAGCTGAAAACCCGCTCCAGTGCCATATCGTCCACGGAGCGCTTGTAGCCAAGTTATTTTTCAGACATTTACCTAGATGGAATGCGGAAAATCATTAACTAGTCAGTTCATCCAAGTCTGAACCGTAATCTAATTAATAAGAGGCACGGACCTAATAAACACTTCAAGGCTCAGCACGTATTTTTTGTTTTTTTAATAAGTTAAATTTAATTTTAAGAGGTTTATGCCGTTCCATTGGATCACGACGAATTTTAATGTCCTATGTGAACAAACAGGAGATATAAGGCACGTAAAAATGCTGCCTCAACAATTAAATACGCCTGCAAGGTGTTACACATTTATTCTTTCCAATTCTATGAATATAAAACAATTCTGATAGTGAGTTTTATAAAGTCCCCTCACAAAAACAATGGAGTTAATCCCCGTTAAACTGGCTTGAATGAGGTTCTTCT